TTAGGGTTTAGGGTTTAGACCATATCGTCTGAGTCATAACACCCTCAACAGATTGGTGTTGAAGTTCCTTAATTAGGTGGAAAGCCACGAACCCTCCGCCATCGGTCTTGCTGGTGGGGATTTGGAAGGTGTAAGGTTTTTTCGCACCTTTGAGGTTTGGGAGTATCCATAAACCCAAAACCCAAAACCCCTAACCCCTAAAGCCTAAACACAATAATCATGATTTCCCCTAAACCCTAAACCCTAAACCCTAAACCCTAAACCCTAAACCCTAAACCCTAAACCCTAAACCCTAAACCCTAAACCCTAAACCGTCGTATCTCTTAGCTGAGGGCATCGGGGGCTGGAAATGCCGGGCTTTGCCAACGAGCCTCCCCCAAAGCCGACCCGAGCACCAAATGGGTAGTGCTCTAAAATACCGGGCGTCCTTTTTTTTTATTTAAAGGGCGCCGTTTACTATGTTGGAGTTTCAAAAAAGGACCATAATTTAATTTAGAGAACTACCCAGATCCCCAAACCCTAAACCCTAATTCAATTTAGAGAGCTACCCAAATCCCTAAACCCTAAACCCTAATTTGATTTAGAGAACTGCCGAAATCCATCACCCCTGAAGCCCCACACTTCCTGAAGCCTTTTACTTCCCCGCCAAAATCTGTTTGAAGTCTCCCCTGAAAAGGGGCTGCCAGCGGCTTGCCTAGTAAGGCTGCCAGCGGCTATGATGTGTAAATCCTGCACCCTGATGCTTTAAACCTGAATCACCCTAATCCTCCCATGTCTCCGCAAGCAGCAAGGCCCCACCCAAAACCCTACAAGCCCTAAGCTCTAAACCTTAAACCCTAAACCCTAAGTGAACCCATGGCGCTTCTTGTTTTAGGGTACTAATCCAGTACCGTTGGGAGCCTTCTGCAGGCGGACAAGAGTCGAAACCAACCCTAAAAAAAACAAAAAACCCTAAGTGAACCCCTAGACTCCTAAACTGCAGCACACCCTAAGGCGAAGCCCAAATCCTGAAGCAACTAATCCCTTCGTCTCTTTGATCAGACAACCCTCAACCGCAAGCCCTAGAAACCCGCAAACCGCAAACCACAACACCTCCACCTCAAAAAATCCTGAAGCCTAAGCCCCGAACCCTAAAACCCATAGCCCAAAAAGCCTTGAAACCCTGAACCCCTAAACTAGCCCCAAACCCTAAACCCATAGCCCAAACAACCTTGAAACCCTAAGTTCGAGGCCCCGCAGGTCAAAATCCAACAGCATTCACCCTAGTCCCTCTTCCCGGAACCCTAAACCCGACCTACTACCTTTTATGGACTTATATAAGGAAGTCACAAGAAGGAACCCTAAAAAAAATAAGGGTTCAGGATATATACCCTAAACCCTAAACCCTAAATCCCGAAGCCTGAACTTTCCCTGGGTCCTAAACCCTAAACCCTAAACCCTAAACCCTGCGCAGAACATCAACATATCGGAGCTCTGCAGCCGAAGAAGTCTGGCTTCTGCGTTCAAGGTGGGGCTCTTTCGGGGTTTAGGGCTTTAGGGTTTAGGCTAAAATGTTTCAGGGTTTAGGGTTAAGGAATGGTTTAGGGTTTAGGCTAAAATGTTTCGGGTTTTTGTAGGCTAACATGTTTCAGGGTTTAGGGTTAAGGAATGGTTTAGGAATTTAGGGTTTGGGCTAAGACGAATGGTTTAGACGGCTCTTTTGGGGCTTAGATGGGCTTGGGCCTTAGAGTTCAGGGTTTAGGGCTGTGCTTTTTTGAGGCTTGGGGCACGCCTTCGTGGGTTGTAGGGTTTCGGTCTTGGGAAATTGGCGTTGTGGGTTGAGAACCTAGGATGAGGGGGGTTCGGGCCTTGTGGTGTAGGCTTTGTTTAGTTTAGGGTTTAAAGTTTAGGGGAACTTGAGAGGCACTTTTCACTGGCCTTGTGGTTTAGAAGCGCTTTTCCTGTCAGCATTAAGGATGCGTTAGAGGGCTCCTTGTTGAGCGATCAGGCCTCTTTCGGCGTTCCGTTGGGCAGTGGACTGTGGCAGCACTTATTCTCACAACACTCCTGTAGTAATTTTCCAGCCCCTAAACCCTAAACCCTAAACCCTAAACCCTAAACAGCATGTTGATCTGAACCATAGACGTAATCAAGCTAGAGGTCTGAATAATTCGAAGCAAGATCTCCTTACGGTCACACGTTGTGTAGCTACACGTCAAGCGTGGATTCTGGGAACAGAGCACGCTCTGGACGCAGTTCGTGTAAGTTTTGCCCGGAAGGCCAATTAAATGTATCTTCGATTCCTCGTAACTGGTCGCACCAAATCCTTATTCAGTGTATTACACTGCTTTAAGCTTCCCGAAGCCCCTAAACTCTCAACCGTAAACACCTAAACCCTAAACCCTGAACCCTTACACCCTAAACCCTAAACCCCTAAACCCCTATCGGCGTTAAGTCTACTTGCTCATCCTGGAACCTAGCCTCCCAGGCGGCTATCCAGTCCGCCGTGGCGCAGGAGAGCCGCGGTAGTGACGGAGATGTAGCTTTCGAAGGGCACGTGTTTAGGGGTTTAGGGCGCTTGTAGGGCGTTTCTAGGTTCGTATAGGTTGTTTGCAGCATTTCCTGGCGTTTTTTGTGGGGCTGTTTAGAAGGCTTCTGGTGCGTCCTGTGTGGGCTGATATATGCATGGGTTTATGCAGAATTGCAGCGGCCATATAGGGTTTCTAAGGCATGTCAAGAATATGCCCTAGATTGCAACCATCATAAACCATCTCTAAAAGCCTTTGTTTCAGGTTCAGTGCGTAGCTGCGGTTTAGGGTTCAGCTTGGCTTCTTGCTGCGTGGCGTTTAATTAGATCTGCCACCCTCTGAAAAAAGCCGTCCGCAACTCGACATATGTCGAAATTATTTCAACCTCCAGAACAAATATCGCCTTATCTCGTGCCGTGCCCGTCCTAACGCCCGAAATCCTTGAACCTCAAGCCCTACAGCCTAGAAAGCCGAAACGAAACGTAGACTTGACAGGAATGCCTTCAAGATAAACCCTAAACCCCAAACCCAGGGTTTAGGGTTTAGGGCTTAGGGTTTAGGGTGTAGGGTTTAGGGTTTAGGGTTACAACAGGAGCTGGGCCACAACTTCTTGCCAGAGTATGTCGATGTACGGTTGAGCCCGGACTCTGCCGCCATTCCAGTGGCGCCCTGGCTGAGCTTAGGAGGGTTTAGGGTTTAGGGGTTTGGGGTTTAGGGTTTAGGGTTTAGGGTTTAGGGGCTTGGCTTAGGCTTTTTTCCGGGCTGGCTTGGATGAGGGTCAAACAAAACCCAACACCTTAAAACCCATTTCATATAAACCCTTGAACCCTAAACCCACAACCCTAAACCCCAAACCCTCCGACCCTTAAGCCCTAAACCCTAAACCCTAAACCCTAAACCCACAACCCTAAAACCCCAAACCCCCCGACCCTTAAGCCCTAAGCCCTAAGCCCTTTCAGGCTCATGTATTCGACCTGGATCCTCCCATGAAGTTGGTTGCTAGGATGACTGCGCTACTACTTACTCAAGTAATCAATTCCATCCGGTGTAGTAGGGGTTTAGGGTTTAGGGTTTAGGGTTTCTGTGCCCTACCCTGAACCCTAAACCCTAAACCCTAAACTCTCAGCTTTTATACCCTAAACCCTAAACTCAACCCTAAACCGCTAAAAAACCCTGAACCCCAAACCCTCTAAGTGCCAGGTGGTACTGCCGCCCGCGGGGATGTCGGCGAGGGAGTTGCATGCCCAACTCTGCACCCGGCAGCTGCCCGGATGGTCTGTTGCAGGCATGAACGGGGATTGTAGGGTTCAGGGTTTAGGGTTTAGGGTTTAGAGTTTAGGGTTAAGGTTTTGGGTTTAGGGTTTAGGGTTTAGGGTTTTTCAGGGTAGTTTAGGGTGTCGAACGTAGAAGTTTTGGGCTTTGGGATTTGTAGGGTTCAGGGTTTAGGGTGTCGAATTCAGGGTTCAGGGTTTAGGGTGCAGAGTTCCGGGCTTCTGAGTTTAGGGCTTTGAGTTTTGGGATTTTCGGGAAAAATCCCTTGCGGTTTAGGGGTTCAGAGTGTAGTGTTTCGTGTCTGAAGGTCCTAGGTCAGGCATGACACTTCCAGTATCCCCAAAATTACACACTCATTAGCAGTTGTCTGTTTAGGATTTAGGGCTTTAGGGGTTTAGGGTGTACGGTTTTCCAATGTCGTAGCACTTTGGTGAGTGCTTGGTGCATAAGACCCTAAACCCTAAACTCCAAACCNNCCCAAACCCCTAAACCCCCAAACCTTAAACCCCCAAATCCCTAATAAGGTTATAGACTTGGGGATGTCTCGGGTTTTAGTAGGTCTAGGGTCACCCATCAACCCAGAGGCGCCCATGCATCCGATCATTTTGGGAATGTTGGTCCCAAAAGACCATCGTCATTGGGTTTAGGGTTTAGGTTTTTGGGTTTAGGGTTTAGGGTTGAGGGAATCATGATTATGGTTTTGGGGACCTACTTCCATAGTGGTGGTATATATGGAGCCTCAAGGCAGGCCTTTGGGTTGCAATGTGCGTTTGGAGCCCGACTTTTGTTTAGGCGTTTGGGTTTGGGGTGCACTTTGCTGAAGAAGGGGTTTGTGTCTTTGATGTTGTCTCGCTTTGCTGGAGGGGTGTGAAGGATGGAGTGCCTTCTCCTGTTTCTGCAATTCTGTCAGAAAGGCTTGTATAGATGCCATCATCTTCTTTAACTTGCTGTAAGAGCCCTAAATCCCCAAACAGCTTAAACCACGCAATCAAGCAAATCAGTAGATATGAGACCCTCAACCTTCAAAGCCCATAGCGAACTCTGATGAAGCCCCTAAACATCCCCTATACAACCCTTACTCCCTAGAATCCCTCGCTGCAGGCCCCGTTCGACCCCGCAGGAGTCTTAAAACAAATCTCTGATGAACTCTGAATTTCTTCCCTAACCCTCTAAACCCTAAACCCTAAACCCTAAACCCTAAACCCTAAACCCTCTAAGCCCTAAACCCTAACCCTTTAAAGGAGCCTCAAACCTTCATGCCCTTCCTTTAGAGGCCGCGTCGCTAGCCTGGAGGGGTTCCGAAGCGTCTGCCTCTCCTCTCTTTGGGCCCGGCGCTTGGTATTCTAAGGCCTTTTCATAAGGCTTTTCAGGGTTTAGGGTTTAGTGTAAGTTTTCATTTTGTGTCGAGATTTTGGCTTGAGGCCGGCTAGGTCAGGACTTAGGTGATTCTGCGTCGTACAATGCAGGGAGTCAGCCTTGAGGGTTTAGGGTTTAGGGACGGTTACGGCATTCGGGGGTTGATGCGCTACCGTCTTTTGCTGGGAAACCTCGTTGCAGTTCCTGCATCTTGCAAAGCACCCGAAGCCTTAAACCCCCGATAATTCGGCTGAGCCCCAAACCCTAAACCCTAA